TTCTACAACATTTGGTTGCAAAAGTACAATATTTGGTTCTTAAAGTACTATGTACATCATTTGCTTTCAAAATTACTACATATATTCTTAAATGTTCAACATCATAATTTGCCCTTAATGAATTTTAATGACTTTCCCAATATGCCATTAGATTTTTTTTTTAATTTTAATGGCTTTCCCAATATATATTTCTTCCATTCTTTTTTTTGTATTGGAGTAATAAATTTGTAGGTAATGAGGAGAGGAGATTAGGATAATCCCATAGATAAGTCCCATTTTTACATCTATTAATAAGATTATGATCATAATAAGAAGAGAAAAGTATCCTAATTTATGTATATCTCAAAAATTTTAAAATAAACATGATTAGCTAGTTTAAGTAAGCTGGTAAAAATTTCAAGTAAAACCTGTATCTTATACGTAGTAAATTATAGGTTTCTAATCCTAAATTAAATTTTAATAATTAAATGTCACAGTGATATCAAACTTGCCTTAGCTATAGTAAAATGATAATATATAGATGTCAAAATTTTTGAACATTGAAATAAAAGCAAAAGAAAACTCCTTTGAAGTTGAATTACTAGAGAGTACAATATAAGTTTTTCGAGTTTTATTTTTTTAATTTTAATTTTTTTTTGTTTTTTATTTTTTGATACAAAGGAGCCACTTCATGCTAACTGATTTAAAAAAAAAAAAAAATTATTTCATTGGTGTATTTTCTTTGTTAGTAGTACATATTATATTGTCAGCTACTATATTTAATTCAGCTTTCTTTTGCCTTAAACTTGAGCTCTAATCTCTCCAAGCCGTTCTTACCTAACTATGTTTTGCAAATAACATATCGTACACAGTCATCAAATTTTCGAGTACATAAATGATGTAGTACTGTTATTGTGCATCTATTAAGACGTGAATTTAAGCTTGTTAATTATTATACAAACACTAAGTATATAGAACCGAAAACTCATAGACATTTTTGCATGAACTTTAAATTAAACTTATTTTATTTGACCTTCGTCACATTCGTTGTCCCCAACTTGGAATGCATATAATATGGTTCGTGGTTGGGAGCAAATTAGAGACATTATATTGGTAGGAATCACCCAAAATAATACTCCTTTAGTTTAATTTGTTACCAATTGGGTAATATAAATTGCATTAATTCAACAATATGAAATGCACGTTAACATTTCGTGCATACAATCACCAATCAACTTGGTTGTACACCCTTTGTTAGTTGTAGCCTCAAACTACCTCTATATATATGGATCTTTATTTTGGGTAAGTTATATCCAAAAAGAAAAAGAAATATATTTTTTCCTAAAAAAGAAAAAAAAAATGGCAAAGGCTAGAGCAAGTTCTTCCTCTACCACAACACTAGCTATTGTTGTTCTATGCATGACCCTGGTCGGCCAATCTTATGGTCAGCTGAAGCAAGGTTTCTATGCTGGAAGATGTAGCTCAAACGTCGAGAGTGTTGTTTTCGATATAGTTTCTAAAGCATAACAAACTGATAAAACCATTGTTGCTGCTCTTCTCCGAATGCAATTTCATGATTGCTTTGTTAGGGTATGTATGTAAATTGGTGTACCCTTGTATTAACATGAACATGCATGAACAATCATAATTAAATTTTAAGCATTATGTATATATAATATATGATAGATTAACAAATTAATTTGTTTTTGTTGAAAAGGGATGTGATGCATCAATCTTGTTAGATGGAAGCAATGCGGAGAAGAATGCACCATCAAATGGCAGTGTTCGAGGTTATGAACTTATCGATGCTATCAAAACAAGATTAGAGCAATTGTGTCCAGGACTAGTCTCTTGTGCGGACATCATTGTCATAGCAACTAGAGCTGCAGTTGTCTTGGTATGCATTATCTATATATACAACCACTTGTTTTAATTTGTAACATCCCGGATTAATTAGGACATACATAAAATTCACTAACCATCATATGTGAAATGATACCTTTTAGGCTCAAGGAAATTGGTACAATGTTGAAACTGGAAGAAAAGACGGATACTTTTCATCTATAACAGAAGCTGAAAAGAACCTTCCTCCACCAACAATCTCAGTTTCAAACGCGATTAAACTTTTCAATAGCAAAGGATTGAGCGCTAATGATTTTGTGCTCCTCTTAGGTATAGTAATTTAATCTTAAGAAAGTCATATATTTTAGTACAAAGTTGATTTATTTTCATTATTATTGCATGTACAAAAGTATCATGCATGGATAATTTAAATTATGTAATTAAAAAGAGTTTCATATATATACTTACATTCTACTATCTAATATAGGAGGTGGTCACACTGTTGGAGCCATACATTGTAGCAAATTCCTAGACCGGTTGTACAACTACCAAAACACCGGTACAGCTGATCCATCAATGAACTCAAACACTCTTAAGTCCTTTCAACAAAGATGTCCTCGCAGTGGCTCAAACAACTTTGTTTACACGGACCAAACTGTAGGAAGTGAATTCAAGGTGGACAATGGTTTCTACAAGGCAATTTCCCAAGGCAAGGGTGTGCTCGAAATTGATCAACGTATTGCAAGCGATTCCCTAACCAAGAACTCAGTGAGTAGGTTGGCTTGGACTGGGGACTTTGCCACCCAATTTGGTAACGCTATGATCAATCTTGGTAGGGTTGGAGTTCTTACACAAGGTCAGTCAGGAGGAATTGTCGCCGTAACAATTAGTAACAACGCCTTTGATATGGCCATTTGCAATATTATCTGATCTTCAACAAAACTACCTTCGATGGCTCTACTTTTACCCTTTTATTTGGGAAACTCTTTTCATTTTAATTTGGCTTTAATTTGTATTTGTATTTGTACTTTTCCTTTATCATTTCATTCTTTCAATTGTTATTATACAAAAAATTGTTTGAGAGTAACATTATATGTTTGATCAAATCTCAAACATTATACATTGGTTACAATTTTTTCATGTTTTTAATACAAAGATTATGAGTATTAATTACGTAAATGATACTGTACTACACCTCCTACTACACCTTTTTTTTTTTTTTTTTTTTTTTTTATTATTATTATTATTTTTTTTTTGAAGAAACCCACTACACCTAATTAGGTTCAGCCATAACTGGATTGGTAGCATATTTAATTAATTAGTAGAATCCCTCCACTAGAGAGGACGACTTTGAAATTGTATTAGGCCATTATTTATGTTTAGGGTAAATAATTTTACTTGTATATTCTATTTCTTTTAGTTTGTCATGCAGTTCTAGGATAAAAAATTAAAAAATGTCACTAAGAGGAATATAATACGATTAGCTAGCTATAGTAGAACTACCAATGCAGTAAAAGATCCAAGAAAACCACAAACTCTTTTTTTTTTTAATTTTAAAATCTGATTTATTTTCTTTTAATACAGTATCAAACGTTGACTTTTTTCCTTTAAGCTTTTTAATACATTATTTAAAGATATTTATATGGTCAAACACATAACACCCTTTAAAATTGTAGGATTGAAATAATGAATTCTATACAAACTACAATTTTATGTTAACCATTGAAAAGTCATACGTAAATTTGATCCTATAGGAGGACAGGAAAGCTTTGCCTATTACTGGTTAGTCTACCAAAAGATTATTTTACACGATACCATGAATAAATATGAAAAATATTTGCCGTGCCTTCTCATTACTCAAAATTGAATATATATATACATCCAAGATCACTAGGTTAAGTTAAAGCTAACTAAAAAAAAATATACACTAAATATCATCCACCATCAAAGGGCAACAATGGAGTCGTTAGACGTACTTTCTGATAGAGTTATGAGAAAGAGAATGTTGGAAAGCATAATTATATTGATGAGTATAAGAGTATATATATAGTACATGAGTAAGCAATAAAATTAGACTAGGTACATTTGTAGGTACATTAGCTAAGAGTTAGGGAAATATTTAACTATCAACCTAAAGAGTAAATCAAGGGATTACACAATTAACACAATTACTAATAATGATTCGAATATCCTTTACACTTTCACGGTCATTTTAGGAACACCTGGCTGACCTAAACTTTAAAAAAAAAAAAGACATTTTCTGTATATTTAGAGAGTTTTATATGATTAAAGAATCAAAGAATAATTGTTACGTGTTTACATATACTTTTTATGAAACGAGGGACTAGAAAATCATGTATCATATCAAATCTATCTCCCTTGGATGATAATTAAAATAGATCCCTTCCCAGCCTCCAATAATTTACGACGAAAATCACAGTTTCTATTCTCCTTCTCCATCATATTGGATCGCTCTTAGCTTATGCTTTCTCATGGAGGCAGTTCGTGTACTTAATTATTTGTTGTATGTACGTGTTGGAAACAGTGGTAGCAGTAGTGTGTGGTCTGTAGTTTTGATGGCATATGATACCGTGTATGGTTGTGATGGTAACGAGTGTGTAGTTGTACCGAACGAGCTTAGGCCAGGGTCAGTTTCGTTGGCGGGTGGTATATTATATTAGAAGCCATGGTGTATTTAGTACGTATTTAGGAGTGATTTATCAAATGGATTTTAAATAACTCTTGAAAGTCTTAAACCCCTCTAATAAGGGCTGTATGGTTTGAGGCCGATGCTAGTCAAACTAAAAAAACAGCGGATTAGAAGTTGACATTACATAATTAATACAAGTAGTAGAAAATGTCAATCAATACTATATACAATTTTAACATAATTGGCCTGGCAACTAGAATGGCTAATTATAATTAGGTACTAATTAAATTTATACAGTAATATTTTAACTATAAAAATTATTCTACTAATAATTAATTAATTAGTGTAGAAGATTAATCTCTCTTTGAAGATCATTGTCATATTTTATGATAATTATTAGTATGATAGATTAAAGATTATTAATTTTTCGATAATTTAGTATGATAGATACTTTATAGTGGAATGCACGTTAATAATTCTGCACAAGTCGTGCATACATGTAATTTAACAACTTTTAGCCCTGAATTGTGTTAAGCAGGTCGTACATTTAGGCCTATATATATGAATCTCCATTTCTTGTAATTCATAAATAAAAAACATTAAAAAAAATAACAGAGCAATTACATTTAATTTGTAGCACAAAAATGGCTAAGGCCAGAGCAAGTTCTTCCTCTACAACAACACTAGCCATTGTTCTTCTCTGCATGACCCTCGTCGGCCAGTCTTATGGTCAATTGAAGCAAGGATTCTATTCCGGAAAATGTAGCGCCAACGTCGAAAGTGTTATCTTCGATATAGTTCTTAAGGCTTACCAAAATGATAACACCATTGTGGCTGCTCTTCTTCGAATGCAATTTCATGATTGTTTTGTTGGGGTATGTAATTACATGTTACCTCAATTGCATATGCATGATCACGTACATTAAATGTTGTTATAATTAATATGCTAACATGTATATTTTGTTTTTTTTGGAAAAGGGATGTGATGCATCTATCTTGTTAGATGGAAGCAACGCCGAGAAATTTGCACCATCAAATGGCAGTGTTCGAGGTTATGAGCTCATCGATGCTTGCAAAGCTAGATTGGAGCAATTGTGCCCAGGACTTGTCTCTTGCGCCGACATCATTGTCATAGCAACTAGAGTTGCAGTTGCCTTGGTATGCATTATACATACAAGTACTTGCATTGTTTTATTATACTACCTCTGATTTTTTTAGTTGTAACTTTGGAATATTTTATATCTCACAAATAATATCCCAAAATTGCAACTAAAAAAAAATCGGAGGTAGTATTGAAATATGAAAATTCGAGAAATATAAGCTTAAGTAGACAAAAGACATCCATGATAAAATTTACTACTAACACATAATATGTTGAATTTTTATTTTAGGCTAAAGGAAATTGGTACGAAGTTGAAACTGGAAGAAGAGATGGATTCTTTTCAACTATAACAGAAGCCGAGAAGAACCTCCCTCCACCAACTATCTCAGTTTCAAATGCTATTAAGCTATTCAATAGCAAGGGATTGAGTTCTTATGATTTTGTGCTCCTCTTAGGTATAGTAACTTCGAATAATTGATTAGGATTTTTTTTTTACAATAATCACCTATAATTGTTGCTGTTTTAGGAATTACCACCGCAACTACAGTTTCAAGGTTTTTTTTTTTTTTTTAATTTTTTTTAATTTTTTTTTTTACCACCTACATTTTATAAACATGATAAAACTTCCCATCATTTTTAAAGATGACGTCATGGTGGGGTCCAAAATGGTAATTCCTAAAATATCAACAATTTTTCTACAAAACTAGCTTAATTAATGACGAGTTTGATCATACTACAGGAGGTGGTCACACAGTTGGAGTCATTCATTGTAGCAAGTTCCTAGACCGGTTATACAATTACCAGAACACCGGTAAACCAGATCCATCAATGAATTCAGCAACTCTTTCGTCGTTCCAACAAAGATGTCCTCGCAGTGGATCAAACAACTTTGTTTTCGCTGACCAAACCGTAGGAAGTGAGTTCAAGGTGGACAACGGTTACTACCAAGCAATTGCACAAGGCAAGGGTGTACTCGAAATCGATCAACGTATTGCAAGTGATTCACTTACCAAGGATTCAGTGAAGAAGTTGGCTTGGACCAATAACTTATTCGCCTACCAATTTGGTTACGCTATGGTCAAGCTTGGTAAGGTTGGTGTCCTTACTGGCTCACAAGGTCAAGTTAGGTTGAATTGCCGCCGTAACAACTAACAACACCCACCACAATCTACATGGTTCGTTGTCTGAACGACGTTGTTACTTATATTTGATGGCTTAACTATCATTCTCTTTCAATTCAAGCTCTTATGAACTTGTTCGTTAATTTTCATTACCATTTCATTTCTTCATTTGTTTTTAGTTTTGGATATTTGTTGAGTAAGAGAGTGTTTGAATTCTCTGTGGAACTATATAGGTTCTAATTTCGGTTTGTATTAACAAAAGGCGTATAATACAATGGGAATTGATCTTTCATTTATATACGAGTAATAACTTTCATATTTTTCCTTGTTAGTTTCTCCTTAGTTCTTACACAAGATTGACACTATACTTTTTTACATGTTGTCAAACAAAATGTATCCCCTCTATTCTTTTAGAGAGCACTCTGCATGACTTAATTTTTACCACAACTTGAATTCTTTCATATTGATGACTTACCTTTAGTCCTTCGCTTACACCATTAATTGTTTAACCACTTTAAGTTTACCAGCTTATTTAAAGGTCGTTATGAACTACATACTTTAACCTTTTCTCCTACCAATTGATTACATGAACAATAAATGAGAAGATATTTTAAAAAATGAATTTAGCAATCAGAGTAGTTTCATTCTAGCTCTTTACATCAACGTTAATTAAACCAAAATTACCTATAGTAAATTAAGATGACAATAAAGTCTAAGGTGAAAAAAAAAGAACAAAAGATGATAAAAGCCAAATATACTTAAATCATTGTATGACGTAGAAGGTGGTAAGTATTACAATAATCCGTTATATTAAGTAAGCAAAATGTACAGTATAGTCCTAGTATTCATTCTCATTTGAAATCTTTTCTTACAAAACTTTCCTTTAGTAGACTTTGATGTTCCAAATTTCCAAAAGGCTTCATTTTAAGAAGCACTTCACGTACTACACTTGAAGAACCAATGCACAAAAATCTGCTTTAGTATTTGCAATTTCGCATCAACATATTTTTTTCACTAACGAACCTTAATTTTTTACTCCTTTTCTACTGTTATGATTTTCATCCACATCACCAATTTCAGTCTTTTCAGATTGAGTATTTAATATGAGCTTGTATCATATGATTTTCAGGTTGGGTTAAATTCCGTTTGAGTCAATAGCCCCTTGACCATGACTTAAAATGTGTTTAATTAGCTTTTAGTTGATCCAATAGGTCAAGGGTACTAGCCCTGTTTTGTTGTTTGGAAAACTTTATACTATGTTACAAAAGTATTAAAAAATTATCGATCAATTTGAATTTAGAATCGAACATACAATAAACAAAGAGAGGAGTGTGTATAGTGGGAGCATTAAGGAGGACAAGACACACATATAAGGTTTTTTTTTTTTTTTTTTTTGAAAAGAATATATTTTGCATGTCTAAGATATTGATATTTACATAAAGAATTAAAGAGTATATGGTTAGCTACAGACGAAGTAAGAAACTAAGCTTGGCCTAATTAAAAGGAAAGTAAATTCAAATTTAAGGTGGTACAATCTCCGCTTTGGGATAATTTGGGAGAGGAGATTTCCTTACCACGTACACCTCTACCATCCCACGATTTATGTTTTCGATATGGTGATAATCTTGTGGAATAGTATATTTATTTAACCGAATCCATCACTTCAAGGCCATCTTGAATAATTTATTGGCCCGGTGTGAAATTTTAAAAAAAAAGGTTCTTAACAATAGAGTCGTATTTCATAAATAATACATCAGCAAAATAATTCATAAATTTTGAATTAAAAAGAAAGTCCACCAAAATTCTTTGTATCAAAAAGTTTATTTTTTTTAATTTTTTTATTTAACTTAGATAAATCAAATTATGAAAATAATTTTTTTTAAAAAATAGGAGTACAAAAGGAATGGGGGCCAAAACTGTTACTCAAGGTGCTCATGCTTATAGCGGATTATTAAGGATATTTATCCTAAGTATATCCTAAGTTTCTTTTTCTTCTTTTCTTTGATATTTTGTTATCCTTGCTGGCATTCTGTTATGCTTTGTTTTTTGTCCTTTTCCTTTCTGTTATGAGGCCTTGCTGTAGTACACTGAATGTAATAGATTCTGTGACAGCTAGGTGTAAGATTCTCTAAGGGGTGTGTACTAAGTATGACAGTGCTGCAAATTGTTCGGCAAGCAATCAAATTATTCCTCTCTTCTCTTTCTAAATTCTGATCTTCTCTCTTTTCTATTTTCCTCTGCATTGATTATATTGAGCTACGTTTGTCGTCATGGTATCAGAGCACCTCAATGCAGTGCTGGATTAATCATCTTCTTCTGATTGCTACTATTCTCTTCTTTCCTCTGATCTCAGATCCCCTGTCAATCTCCTCTTATTCTCCCTTTCTTTTTCTTCCACATTCATCATCTCTCTTCTCTTCTAAGTTTCTTTTTCTTACTTTAAAATGGCTGGCAATGGAAGGATTTCATTCCAGGACATGCTCAACCCTCTCTTTCTGCATCCATCTGATGATGCTACTTCTGTTCAAGTTGAAAAGCTGCAAGGATCTTCTGATTACAGATCCTGGCGCAGGACCATGGAAATCAATCTCTCCTCTAAACGCAAGCTTGGGTTAGTGATGGGAACAGTGCTCAAGCCAACTAATGATGAAATGAGGGCTGAACTATGGAACACCTGCAATGATATGGTAATTTCTTGGATCACTCATAATGTTTCTTCAACTATTAAGAAATCTATTATGTTCATGACCTCTGCTAGAGAAATCTGATTAAATCTTGAAAAACGCTTTTCTCTAACAAATGGATCTAGAAAATATAAGCTCAACAAAGATCTGTTTGAAATAAAACAAAATTCCATGCCTGTAAATGAGTATTTCACCCTTTTGAATGTTGTCTGGGAAGAATTAGATTCAATGAACTTGCTACCTACTGTAACTGATCCAAGTGTTGAAGTGCAAAATTTGCTAAAAGCATTTCACACTCAGAAAGAGGAAGCAAATCTCTTCCAATTTCTGAACGGATTGGATGAGATATACAATCCTCAGAGAAGTCAGCTTCTTCTCATGATTCCGTTGCCTTCAGCTGAGACAACTGCTACTGCTATACAGCAAGAAGAGGCTCAAAGAGAAGTGTTAAACCTCAATAAGAGTGCTAGTGAGTCCATGGATATGTACAATAGACCTGCAGGTGCTGACAAGTCATTTGTGTGCACAACTTGTGGTCTCAAAGGTCACAGAAGTGACAGATGCTGGACAGTGATTGGTTACCCAAGCTGGCACTCTAAGCATAATTCCTCTGCAAACTCTAACAGATCTAAATTTGTCAATAATCAAAGGTGGAATTCTGGACCTAAGAGCAGTAGTTCAAAAATAGCTGCAGTGGCTCAATCTAGCTCTAACAATGGTGGTTTGCTGTTTACCCCACAACAATTGGATCAGCTGGAAAAAATGATGCCCAAACTGCTGACTCAGGCAAAGGGATCAGAAACTGATGAAGAATTGGAGCATTTCTCTGGCATGATTTCATGTCATTTTGTCTCATATTCACAAGAATGGATTATTGACTCAGGAGCCTCAGATCATATGACCCCACATGTGCAGAATTTGAATGAATACAAAATTGTGAACAATATGCCTAAGATTAACCTCCCTACTGGTGATAAAGCAGAAATTACTCACATAGGGAACTCTGTCTTAGACACTGGATTGAAATTGGAAAATGCGTTGTGTGTGCCCTTGTTCAAGCATAATCTCCTCTCTGTGCAAAAACTGATCTCACACAATCAGTGTGAAGTGAAGTTTCACCCATATCATTGTATTATTGCTGACAGCAATACAAAGGCAGTGAGGGGAATGGGAAAAATGAAAAATGGCCTCTATTATCTTGTTCATCATCTTACAGATGCCTGGGCTCAGAACATATTACAAAATGAAAAAAGAGCAGCATTCAACACAAGCAGCAAGCAAGCTAAGGATACAGATCCTCTCACTGTATGGCATAACAGGCTAGGACATGCCTCCCTCACCAAAATGAAGCACATCTCTTGTGTTAAACCTCATATTCAGCAGGACAAGAAAATCTGTCTCACTTGTCCTATGTCTAAGTTTACTAAGCTGCCCTTTTCTCTAAGTGATTCTCATGCCAGTGATGTATTTGAATTGATACATATGGACATCTGGGGCCCATATAAAATATGTACCAAGGGTAAATACAGACACTTTCTGACCATTGTAGATGATCATAGCAGAAACACTTGGGTCTATCTCCTGCAATACAAGTCTGACTCTCTGAGTACTCTGGAAACATTTCTCTCCTATGCTCTCACTCACTTTAAGAAGAAAATCAAATTCATCAGATCAGACAATGCTCTTGAATTTGATGATGCTCCCTGCAAGGATTTTTTTTGCCAAACATGGCATTATACATCAAACTTCCTGTGTCAAAAGACCCCAGCAAAATGCTAGAGTGGAAAGGAAGCATAGACATGTCCTTGAGGTAGCAAGAGCTCTAAGGTTTCAAGCTTCTCTTCCATTAATCTACTGGGGTGACTGTGTTCTTGTTGCGACACACATCATAAACAGGCTGCCTACACCAGTTCTAGGGAACAGAACACCTTTTGAATGCTTGTTTCATAAAGCTCCAACTTATGATCATCTAAAAGTGTTTGGATGCCTGACATTTTCCTCTAACCCAGAACATCCAACTGATAAATTTCAAGCAAGAGGGGTGCCATGTCTCTTCTTAGGATACCCAACAACTCAAAAAGGTTACAAATTGCAAAATTTGTTGACCAAACAACATTTTGTCTCTAGGGATGTTATATTTCATGAAAATATATTTCCCTTGCATCCTTCCTGTAATGCTCACCTGATGCAACCTATCTCTGACATTGCTCCATTAATCACTCATGATATCACAGTTGAAGTTGATGCTACAACTGATGATGATTATGATGATTTTCTTCACAATCATCCTATTCCAACCTCACCTGATGAAGCCTCATCTTCTCATTCCACTCCTCACTCTTCTCCTGTCTCTTCACCTCTCTCATCTCCAACTCCACCACCAGTCAGAAAATCTCACAGACCTCATCATGTTCCACTACAACAAATAATCACTTGTGCCACGAATTATGCCACGGAATACCAATTTCGTGGCATAATTTCATCTAGCCACAGGAAAAATGAACTATGATACATAACTTAAATAAGAAGAATAATTTATGCCACGGGTATTTTTTTCGCGTGGCAAACATCACACTTGTGCCACGAGTAGTACCCTGTGGCAAACATCACAA